TATGATCTTGTAATAGCTGTTATATATATTGATGTAATGATGTAATGAGATAGAGGGTTGTATGATGAATAAGAAATCTCATTTCTCTTCTTTATCTTCTTCTTGTTTTGTTCTTCGCGAGCTAAAGGCCTGCAAACAAACCTGCAATACAACAACTACTATCCAACATAAATTTTAAAAATTGCATTGAATTAGTAGGTATTGTGTTTCAAAAAGATTATATTTATCTTTTGACAAATGCAATTTTTTTTTTAATAATCAACTCGATATCATAATAAATGAAACATAAATGTTTGATTGAAAATAAATCAATGATGCATATATTCTATATTAACAAGATACAAATGAAAAACATATGTCATTTGCCGACTAGAGTCACAAGATGGCTGTAGTTTACCTAATGCACGTCTCCAGGTTTCCCTCGTCACTCAAAAACAAATGAAAAACATCTCTTTTACCCAAAAAAAAAAAAAAAAAAAAATTAAAAAAAAAAAGCAAATTTTTAATTAAAAATGGAGCTAAACTAAATAGATACACATTATTTATTAATTAAAAAATTACTGTATTATTAAGTATGTTATGTTCGACCAGCCATGCCGACGCTGCTGTGCCTCCCGAGCCACCGCCTGCTGTCATGAACCAAATTGCCCAGCCGCTTTCGAGAACCTGTTGAGTCAATGCCGGATACCATCCTGTTGAGTCAATGTCGGATACCATCCAGCGACGAACAGGGCCACAGTTGGAGCGATTCTTCTCGATGGAAGTGGTGGATATATTTCGGCCTTTAGTGCTTCGCTCTCGAATTGTTTCTCTCCGCTTATAGACGAGGCATTCGCATGCAAAGAAGCCTTGTCATGGCTAAGGATTCGTGGAGAACAGTCAATAGAGCTATACACAGATTGTCATATGCTACATTGTTACCTATCCTCCGCAACTGCTCCAGTTCGTTCTCATATTGGTTATGCTATTGATAGTTGCATATATTACATATCTTCTTTTGATTTCTGTTCGGTTAAATTTATTCCTAGATCGGATAATTATTTAGCTCATACTTTAACTTCTACTACTTTTGATCAAACTAGTGTTATGTACTTGGACGTTGTTCCTCATGACTCTATTTCAGCTTATCTCTAATATATACCGCATTGGTTGTTTTCAAAAAAAAAAAAAAAAAAAAAACATGTTATGTTAGTGTAATAGTTCAGATTGATTTATTCCTTCGAAAGTTACCATATTAATTTCCCTTTTATATATACTTTCTCAATCTTTTTTAATTCAAAGAGTCAATGGGCCCACCATCGGGGTTCGATCATATAACCACACATTTAGAATGGTAAAAAGATGTGTCATCACACTACATAGTCAGTCGTTATATCATAAACTGCGGTGCACATGCACCGCGGTAAAAAACGGCGCCGTTTCTTTAAGTAAAGAAACGGCGTGCCGTTATAGTTAACGGAGTCCGCTTGTTTGGTGTATTAAACACCAACTGACACTACAATATATTTAAACCGACACTGCAGTTATATCAAAATGATACTGTAGTTATAGTAAAATGAAAATGCAATGTATATAAAATGAAATTGAATAACATTTCATATATTTGAGTGTATATTGTACAATGAAGCTATAATTATATCAAAATGATCATGTACTTGCATGTGTTTTAATGAAACTATAGTGTATATAAAATAAAATAAAATAACATTTTCACATATTTGAGTCTATAAATATCGAATGAAACTATAGTTATATCGAAATGAAACTGTAGTTGTGTTGAACTGAAACTGCAGTGTATACAAAATGATACTGAATAACAGAGCTACTTTTTGCGAAAGGGTGCGAAACGACGGAAAACAAACACCGTTTCTTTTCATTTAAAAGGACGCGCGGTACATGATTGATCATGCACCGTGGTGCATGATATAATTTGCCCTACATAGTAGTTGTCACATTATTATTATTATTATTATTATTATTATTATTATTATTATTATTATTATTATTATTATTATTATTATTATTATCATTATTATTATTATTATTATTATTATTATTATTATTATTATTATTGTTATTGTTATTGTTGTTGTTGTTGTTGTTGTTATTATTATTATTATTATTATTATTATTATTATTGTTATTATTATTATTATTATTGTTATTGTTGTTGTTATTATTATTATTGTTATTATTATTATTGTTATTGTTATTATTATTATTATTATTGTTATTGTTGTTGTTGTTGTTATTATTATTATTATTATTATTATTATTATTATTATTGTTGTTGTTGTTGTTGTTGTTGTTGTTGTTATTATTATTATTATTATTATTATTATTATTATTATTATTATTATTATCATTATTATTATTGTTGTTGTTATTATTGTTATTATTGTTGTTATTGTTATTGTTATTATTATTATTATTGTTGTTGTTGTTGTTGTTGTTGTTGTTATTCTTCTTATTATTATTATTATTATTATTATTATTATTATTATTATTATTATTATTGTTATTGTTATTGTTATTGTTATTGTTATTATTATTATTATTATTATTCTTATTCTTAACTTACTCATCACAAAATATGTTCTAACATAATAATAATAATAATAATAATAATAATAATAATAATAATAATAATAATAATAATTATTATTATTATTATTATTATTATTATTATTATTATTATTATTGAGTTAATTCCAGCAGAGATTGTTTGTCTTTGGTATCAATTTTAAATTTAGCCCTAAACTATCGTTTTCATCATTTAATATTCCAGCTTATCATATTTTGGACACTTTTGGTCCTTTCGATAATTTATCCTGTGAAAACCTATTTTAGGCAAGTGTATTTTCATCTATTCAATTTATTATTATTATTATTATTATTATTATTATTATTATTTTTTCAATGAGTTAATTTCAATGGAGGCATTTGTTCTTTGGTGGCATTTTCAAATTTAGTCTTAGACAATCGTTTTGCTATTTAACACACTACACTATCATATTTTGGACACTTTTGGATTTTATCAGAAAAGTCATTAGAATGACTAAAAGTGTCCAGAATATGATAAAAAGGTATCTCCGCTGAAATTAACTGTAGGGTGTTTGATACCTAAGATCAAATTTTATTGAAAATTTAAGAGGTGAAAAATACTTCTAGGTGTAATCTTTGATTTAAGAAAGTTTAAACTGGAATCTAATTCTATGATATTAATGAAAGTAAATCTAGCTTGAGAGATATGATTTTTTTTTTTTTGAGCGATTGGGAGTGTATAAAATTTATTCATTTTCGTATTAACTCACACTATCTCATTTTATCTGTCCTACTTACTATTGGTCAAACCAACTCTTTCTTCTTTATTTATTTTCTTTAGTATTTTTTAGTTATTTTTAAATTTGATTTGTGTGTCTAATTATACTTTTAATGTAATTTCTAAATATATAAATTTTATATACTAATAATACTAAACTTAATATTATGAAATTAAAAATAACTTCAATCAAACCTTATTAATCGAATTGGACACATAAAATGAAACATAAGGAGTAACATTTTTGGAGCCATGTTAAAAGCCTCTCTTATAAATGTTTTTTTTTTTAATCCTCACGTATGATGATGGTATTTTGCTATTCTACTATGTTCTATCATGGTGACTCAACTGAACATGAACCCAAGAAGTCCCCCTCACTTTGAGAGGTTGCACTATGGCTAGTGAGACTCAATCCCTGGTCATTCTTCTAAAGTTTCACCTCTATGACCAGTTGAGCTACTCATACAGACTCAACATCTATATCTATACAATGTACATATAGAGTTTTGTTACTAAATAATTTTTCATCTATTTGCTACATGTTTCATCGTGTGTATGTATATATAGTTGTTAACAGTTTTGAGTGCAATACATAAAAATATGTTACTCACTCCATCTCATTTTGTTTGTATGATTGGGTTAACGAGACTTGATTGAACTTATTTTTAATTCATTTTTTTTCAATATTAAATTTAATATTAGTATATAAAATTTATATATTTAGAAAATACATTAAAAGTACTATTAAATAAAAAAAATCAAATTTATAAATAATTAAAAATTATTAAAGAAAATAAGCAATGAATAAAGAGTTTATTTGACTAATTAATAGTAAACATGACATGGAAAATGAGACAAAGGAAGTATATATTATAACTAATGTATTAATTGAAGTTATAAAATGTTTGTAAGGGTATATCCGGTTTAGAGTTTTAATAATTTTAGTAGACTTTTTAATATGAAAAAGTTTTTAAAATTTATAAATATTTGTCAAACATACTTTTATAGATTCGTACAAAAAAATTTAAAAGATTCTATAAAGGTTTCAAAAGATTCTATGAAAATCATTTAAAATCCATCACTTTAAAACTCTTTGAAAACCTATAAAAGTCTTATTGAATACGTCATCTTAGGTCAATAGTTTAACTAACTTGATAGGTTGTTCTCATATTTTTAATTATATTGAAGTGGACACTAAACCATCTTTTACACCTTGTGTAATTAGTGAACTTTTACACATTGTGTAATTAAATCATCTATAAAAAAGATGTGCAATTAGACCATTAAAAACTCAAAAATTGTGCAAATAATATTTTTTACAAGTTATTTTCAAGTTTTCCTTAAATATGATGTCATAATGTCAAATTATATATTATAACTTGACATTATGACATCATATTTAAGGAACATTTGAAAGTAATTTTTGAATGCTACTTGTTCTATTACAATGTAGTATCGGTTCATATCTTCCAAATGAAAATTCAACTCGGGTACCATTAAACCACATAGTCTTGGTGAGTTTTTAATAGTCTAATTACTGCTTTCAAAAAAAAAACAGTCTAATTACATATTTTTTTGTTTGATGATTTAATTGTACAATGTGTAAAAGTTCAATTGTTTATTTTGACATTTTTTTCCATAAATTTAAAATGGTTATACAAAAAAAAAAAAAAAAAAAAAAAAAAACAAGAGTACATGGAAACTCAACGACTTCTTAAATTCCCAAACCCTCGCCTCCGTGGCTCCGCCATTCTGTATGCCCTTAAGGCTGAAGCTGAAGGTCACTGGTAAGTTTTCGATAGTGTTTCTGTTTATTTTTCTCTTTCTTTTTCGTATATTTCCCGGGATCTAAGATACTCTGCATCGTTTTCCTTTTCAATCTCACATCTGTGCTTCACAATTTTTGATATGTGGATGATGATCCCAAGTTAAAGACATTTTAGTCGTATTTTTGATCTGGAAGATATGGATTGTGTATGTGTAGAAACCAAGTGTCAATAATGGCTTACAGACGGAGTATATCTACAAGAGCGGAGCTGTTTTACCAGCAGCAACGGTTTGCACCATCCTTTTCCCACTTACAGCGCGATGATGATCGGAAAAACCACCCTGAATCCTGCTCGGAAAACCCTAAAATATTTCGTTATCTTCAGCACAGTTGCTCTGGCAACGGCGTTAGCGGCACCAGAAACTCATTTGTGGACAGGAGATTTTGTGCTCCCATGAGTTTGGGGGGTTGTCTGGTTAGGAATATGTCTACTGGGGTTGGAGAGGGAGTGGACAAGATAGAGTATATGTCGGACATTGCGGATGTGCTGAGTGATAAGGCTGTTGAGGTAGTGGCTTCGCAAGCCCCGGTGGTGAATGAAGTGGCAATCGCGGCTGCAGACTCGTTTTTGCCTGTGGCTGTATTGCAACACTTGATTGATTATGTCCATTGCTATACCGGACTTAATTGGTAATACATTTCTTCATCTCTTAGTATAAATCTCAAACCTCATGATTACATATGTGCCTTGTGCGATTTGCTTGAATGGTTTGTGGAACCTAGCTTTTGATATAATCAACTGCACGAGTTTAAAGTTTGTGACTTTCAGTAACTCCTGAAATTTTACACTTCAAACATTCTTAGCATACAAAACCTATAATTAGCTTGTTTTGCATTTTTGGTTTTGCCACGGTCCTGATCACTTTTTCATTACATAACTTTGTTCAGGTGGGCATCAATTATTGCAGCAAGTTTTATGATTAGACTGATCACTCTGCCACTGAATATTCATCAGCTCAAAGCCACTTCAAGATTAACTGTGAGTAATATACATGTTTTCAGGCTTCAGGCTCTTAGCTTTGTTAGCATTTTATGATTTGTGCCATTTACTGAGATCTTGTGAGTGCTATTTTTTTTTTTTTTTTTTTTTTTTTTTTTTTTTTTATTTGTGCACATTTCTTACTAAGGCCAGTGTGGAAATCAATGTTGCTATTAGTGTTTTATAGAAATAGGAATTCATTTATTACACTGTTGTCCTCTACAACTTATGAATGGTTTCTTACAATCTTACAAGAAATGACCATTATCCAATGCAACAGAGGGAAAATTTGGGGGTTTTCCTATTGTAATAGATTTCAACCTCTTAAAAATCTGCGTAGTAACAAAATACTCTACATCTGCACATGTGCTGGCAGGAAATAGTATTATGTTAAAACCATAAGTCAATAAACTCTCAGACTACTATAAATTTGAATTAGCTAAGATTATCTTTGGAACCATTTAGTTGCTCTACCTTTCTTTCAAGACAAGTTTTATTGTTGAGCAATTGATATTTGCTCTTTGCATGTTGTTTTAACTCTTAGGTATGAGCATAAGGCTAAGAGCAAGGTTCATCTTCTATATCTACTAAGAAAAACATACTTTTGTGATGGAGGCTAGTTTATGCAGAGGCACTTGATAAATGGTCAAACCTAACTATTGTTATTATATATAACGTTTGTCCAATAGTTTAGATTTGTGATTTGGAAAGCTTGTAGGTGCGTTCTAACTGTGTTCTTTCAGTAAAACCATTTGGGATTTAGTCCACTCAGAAACAAGAACTGAATCTGACTGAGATTGTTTGAGATCACGTAGGAGTCATATTTGGCTCTTTACTTGACTTGGTTAGGTACAAACTTGATCTCAACTTGGCCATGTTGAAGAAATATTTTGCTTATAAGCTAAACTATCAAGCATTAGGAAGTAAAACAAGTAAATATTAGCAATAGCATTTGCAGAGCCTACTAAAAGTTCCAGTATTATTTTCTATAGACAGAGCTTTGGTTGCCTATACTTTCTTATTTTAGCTATGATTAACAGTTTGAAGGATATAATTATATTATTTTTAGTACTTTAGGACATAATTTCCCCAAAGTTCATTTATCTGAAGACTCTTTAATTGTTCAAAGGAACTCCTTCAGTCCATTGCACAGACTTAAATACAAACATGCATACACAGATTACGATTTGTTTGACATATTGAGTCATATGTGATTTCCCTGTTCTCCCAATACCCTCCCCTCACCCCCTGGTATCACATTTCACTGCAATAAATTAATTGAATCATCCAAAATTTGAAGCATGAAGTGCAATAAGATCCATTTTTGAGGGAATTCATCTTACTGCAAATCAATCAATTAGAATAATTTATTAATTTATGGTTGCCTTGGTTGGATTAAAGAAATGAAGTATTCTGGCTACTTTTATAAAATCCGATCAGTAATGTGTGTGTGTGTGTGTGTGTGTGTTTTACTCTTTAGTCTTTGTCACATGCATCCACATTGGTCATGCGTCATTCAACTTTACATGACATATATCTAATTCTGTATTTATTTTCACCTTCATATTTATCTAACCCTAGTTTTGGTTTATGATACTCCTTTTGTCAGACATACTTTTGAATTAACATTTTTCATGCCCATATATGATATATATACTATCTTTTACCACAGTGAACAATATGTGAAAGATATAACTGCCCTTGTTTCATTTATGACCTGCTTGATATTAATCCTGGTTTTCAAAATCTTAATTCTTGATTATTCATTGATATTGAATCTCATGTATGCAGCTTTTGAGGCCAAAATTGGATGCAATAAGAGAAGACATGCAAAACAGGGTATGATCACTTGGTGCTTTTCATGATCTTATATCTTAGATTTTCCTGCTATTGGCTATTGCATTACACGAGTTCATCTGAACCATGTTGAGTGCATCCTATTTATGATATCTTTGAGTTTGTGTCATCCTTGTTCATGGTTAAATAGTCTTTCAAGCTGATCACTATCAGTGTCTCCGTATCCTATCTTAGCTGTTCTTAGCACTGGAAAAAGGAAGAGTGGAGGTAGATTGATTGCTAGGTTAAAACTTTGGCAAGTCTAAGGATATGGTCACTACATAATTGAGTTGAGCTGTAACAGTATCTCTTGTATCACACTTTAGATTCAAAAACTATTCATGGCCTATTCATGTCTCCACGGTTTTTCATTGAAAATCAGTTTTTATAATGCGTAATACACAAAAAACAGATAACTGGTTGTCTGGTTTGCTTTTTAACAGGGAATGAGTCCTTCAGCTGTGAGTGAGGGTCAGCAAGAAATGAAGAAGCTGTTCAATGAGTATGAAAATTTCCATTAGTTTCACCTTTTCAATGTACACTTTTTTTAAAATAGAGAGATATATATTTTTAATGATGATAAGGGTATTGCAGATATAAAGTTACCCCCTTTACTGCCTTGAAGGGAATTTTTATTCAAGGCCCCATCTTCGTCTGCTTTTTCCTTGCTGTAAGATTGTATTCTCTCTACCAGTTACTCTTTTTGGCTAATTGCATTATTTGGGACTTAATTCTTTTGAGAGTTGTGCAAATAAACTTCTACTTTTCACCATTATAGTATGAGTTAATTCCATTTTTGGTCCTAGATTTATAGGTGGCATTCCACTTTTAGTCCTTTTTTTTTTTTTTTTTTTTCAAAACATCCCCCTTTGGTCCTAGTATTTTTATGGCATGACCATTTTTGGTCCTTTACCAACAAAATCGTTTAAATGCACTTAAATACAAGGGCATTTCTGTCTTCAAATAGTTATTTTTCAAAAAAAAAAAAAAAGTAAAAAAAAAAAATATATAGCGGGTCAACCCAATTTGTAAAAAAAAAAAAAAAGAGGTCGAAATGCCCTTGTAGTTAACATTTTAACATCATTTCAACGATTTTGTTGATGTAGGACCAAAAATGGTCATGTCACAATAATACTAGGATATTCTAATAAAAAAGGACTAAAAGTGTAATGCCACATATAAATCTAGGACCAAAAATGAAATTAACTCTTATAGTATTATACATATTAATCCCAGTTCCCAATCTTTTTAAACCTTAGTAAACTAAGGTTGCTCAAGTAATAGTGTTAATCCTTTGTCTATGTTTACATTGCCATCAGAGAAATCCAAATAAAACAATACAAATGAAAATGTGTCTTATTAGAGTCATAATGCTTATGTACATAATATGATCATTTTCATTGAAAAACTAGCATTATTACTTGGAGGCTTTTTACTTTGCAAAGCTTAAAAATTGGGACTTATCTCCGTACTGCTGGAAGTATGACCATAAATGCACAATCCACAAAACCTTGATCCAAAAATGCAATTAATCTTTTGCTTTTCTCTTAATTTGGTGATTCTATTCCTTTTCTATTTCAAATATATCCATATGTATGCAGATTTCTAACATGGCAGAAAAAGTCCCTTCTTTTAAAGAGGGTGGAGCATTCTGGTTTACTGATTTGACTACTCCTGACAGCATGTATATTCTTCCAGTTTTAACAGCATTGACATTCTTGATTACAGTTGAGGTGAGATATCTCATCAGATATATAATTAGGAGTAGTTGTTTCTTTAGAGTAATGATCAACTTCTCAAAATGCTCTTCATATATCCCAGGCGAATGATATACTGAATAGAATTCGTAGTTAGCTTGTGTAATGTTATTTCAAGGAGGCCGGATGCATTCTTGATCCTTTATGATTTGTTTTAGTCACCCCTCAATGCCTTCTGAATTCAACTTAATGCATTCAAAAAGTGTGGTTAGATTCTTAAAACAACTTTAATGTGGTTCATGTACAAGAATATTTTAATTGGTTCATGATCATAAAGTATGCTAAGAGCAACTCTAAGTCTTTAACTGACATGGTTTTACCAAAATGTATAAAAGTTTTGGAAGTGCTCTTTGTGGATTGCATATGTTAAAGAGAATGGGGGGTTTTTGTATAGAACACTCTGTTACTGGGACCTTCAACAGAAAGTAAACTTTGAATTTCTTCAACTAAGGGCTTTATGCTAAAATCAGATTTCAATTCAACATTGTACAAAGAGAGTAGAGACTAAAATGTTCTGTAACTCACATTATTTTTCCTCCAAATATTAGATTTGATACTGTTGGAGGTATTTAAACAGCATGATTTTAATTTTCTTGCTGCCAGGTGCAATGAAACTGCATAATTGTTATTCTCCCACTGATTGTTAACTCAAAGTTGTTCTTTCCTCAGTTTAATGCACAGGAAGGATTGGAAGGAAATCCTGCTGGTCCCACCATTAAGAAAGTTTCAAGAATCTTTGCTCTACTGACTGTCCCATTGACCGCTTCCTTCCCAAAGGTATTTGTCAGAACTTTAGTCATGCAAAATGATGCTTTACATATATAATATCTTGGTTAGCATCAACTTTGAATGCTATATAAAGTTCATGTACCCCCATGGCTAAATGGAATGATCCTTCTTTTTCCTTAAAACTTGGTATATGTGTGTCCTTTGTTGTTGCACGGCACTATTGTTTCAGGCATAAGAAAGTAGTTTTGTTGTTTATGGAAATATCATGATATTTTATATGCTCTTTTCAAATGTGAGATCTATTTGAAATTTGAATCGTTTGGTCGTACCTAATTTGGTTGGGCCTTTGTCAACCATTGCAGGCTATATTCATGTACTGGATTACCTCCAATCTTTTCTCCCTAACTTATGGAATGGGTGAGTTTTGCGCTCTACATAATTTTCGATTTATAATATTTTCTTGCCAAATCAACGCAATGTCTCACATTCCTGTTTAACTTTTGTTGTCTGACATATCAGTACTTAAAAAGCCGGAAATGAAGAAGCTCTTGGGTATACCTATAATCCCGGTGGCACCACCATCTCCTGCCAGTCAAAAACCCGGATTCTCTTTTTTCGAAGCGTTAAACAAGTATTCTGCAGCACAACAACAGGCTCAATCGGCATCAACTAATGAAACATCCATACCTACAAACCAAAGAGTGCCACCATCCTCGGTTCTCAGTCAAAGGATCAGAAGCTTAGAGAAACAAGTTAAAGAAAAGAAGAAAGGCGGCAAGAAGAGGTGATGAACACCAAACTCGGACAAATTTACAATATCACTATTGTCTTCTCCTTAAAATTCATTTACAAATAATGTTCACCACTTCATCCATTAAAATGTCCATAATAATTGGATAATGATAGGGAGGAATTTCCGAGATTTTGACAATTTTGTAGTTTTGTTCCCCGCGACCGCGAGTGATGGCCTAAGGGGGCTTCTTTTTATCCTTATATGTAGTCATGTAGACCTCAGCCATAACAATATAGTGATGGTAGGAAATTATTGTTGTTTTTATACATCTGTGGTCCTTTTGGGGCCATTGAGAAGGTTTCAGTGGCATCTGACATTTATTCATCATTGTAACAATGAAACTATCAGACGTTATGCCATGGAACCGTGTTCACCATTCATGGTGAACACGGTTCCAACGGTGTTAGTACACCGTTATCTTCTTTTTTTTTTTTTTTTTTTTTTTTTTTTTTTTTTTTTTTTTAAATTACGTGACTGCCTACACATTCACTTTGGAACCATGAGATTATGAATTTTCTGTTATAAGATTATGAATTTTCTGTTATGAGATTATGAATTTTCAATTATGAGATTATGAATTTTCTGTTATGCGATTATGAATTTTCTGTTATGAGATTATGAATTTTCATTACATTCATAATTTCGGACATTCATAAATTATGAATTCATGCATGCACATTCACTTTGGAACCATGCCTACATATTCCCGTCCGAAATCACGGACATTCATAAATTATGAATCTATGCCTGCACATTCACTTTGGAATCATGCCTACACATTCACTTTGGAACCATGAGATTATGAATTTTCTGTTATAAGATTATGAATTTTCTGTTGTGAGATTATGAATTTTCAGTTGTGAGATTATGAATTTTCTGTTATGCGATTATGAATTTTCTGTTATGAGATTATGAATTTTATGAAAATTCATAATCTCATAACAGAAAATTCATAATTTGATCAGTAACGCGCCGTTAACTCCACATCCGCGAATTTTTTTTTTTTTTTTTTTGCCTAAAAACGACGTCGTTTTGACTTGTGTTCACCATTCTCGGTGAACACGATTCCACGGCATAATTTGCGTGAAACTATGAAAGGGGCCTTTATAGGCTGAAGAGTAGTAGTGGTTTTTAATTTGTAAGGAAAGCACTTGATGTTGCCATTAATTAATTTGTTTTTGTTTTTCTATTTTTTTTAAAGAAGTAATAATAGTTGGGTACTAAAAATGAAAATGTTATAATATATGAGAGGTCAAAAGTTGAAAATATTCTCTTCAAAATGTGTCACATGTTTGCCTTTCATAAAATGACACTTTTTCTATATTCGTTACTGTAAAGACCCAAATATGGCAAGTTAGAAAATGTCAAGTTGAACTAATTAAGGTTTATAGGTAAGACTGTAATAAGAGTTTTAAGATGACTTAAACGTTAAACTACTAAGGTACAATGCTCTCTATTGTATGTATAGAGGTGGAATAGGGGGTGTAAACGAGTCGAGCTCGAGTTTGTGTATGACTTAAATGTTCCACCTCTATACATACAATAGAGAGCATTGTAGCTGAGTAGTTCAACGTTTAAGTCATCTTAAAACTCTTATTAGAGTCTTACTTATAAATCTTAATTAGTTCAACTTGACTTTTTCCAACTTGCCATATTTGGGTCTTTACAGTTCTTAAAATCAGTTGTCAATATGTTTTTTTCTTTTTTTAGTGCTATTGATGAAATGAGTTGTATCGACGATGTTTTTTTTATGTTATCATTGTTTGAATTCGAGCAAATAATTGCCCAATTATCCGTGCAGTGTGTGTGCGATGCACGGATAAATTTTTTTATTATATATTTAGATAATAAAATTGTTACTATTTCTTTAATCCTTTCAAAATTTGTTAAATATTCATTCAAATACGTGTGAATACCTACCAATGTAGAAACGGTCTACCCGAATGTGCTTTTCATTGGTTGATATCCGATTAAAATAGTATATATTAGAAAAAATTACGGTATTAGTTTTAAAGATTTTGATTTTGGTAGGGCCTCATTTATGTACTCGAACATGGCCACAAAAATCTAAAAACCGGCCATGTGACCAAGTCATCACTTTATTATACATACAACGAATGACAATTGACGAATTGATAGTCTAGGAGGGAAGGAGGGAGGCAAAAAAAGAAAAGAATTGTTAGTCAAAAAAGAATAATAAAAAGTTGTTCTTTGACTAGCCAGCAGACACATCAATCTCCGCAGTTGCCTTGTACGCGGAAGGGTAAATATGTCCATTTAACATATGACGGGAAAAAATTGCTACTTAAATAATTTAGAGGGGAAAAGTGTTATATGTATATAACACAGGCCACAGGGGAATGTATGATAAAAGAAAGTGGCAATTATTCAAAGAAGCTAGTCAAAGGAGCGCAATGTGCTAGTCAACTTAATTGCATTACTAGAAATGTTGGATAAAGTCAAAAGAGAAAGTGTAAAGACCCAAATATGGCAAGTTGAAAAAAGTCAAGTTGAACCAATTTAATATATATATATATATATATATATATATATATATATATATATATATATATATATAACGGCTTCAATCGTTTCTTCAAATTCGCCAACCCTAGTCTCACTCCCATCTTGATTAATAGGTTTTTACCCCTATATTTCAGAATCCAAATCTACGACCAACCCTCCCCATCACACTGTTAATTCTTCCTAATCAGCACACAAAAAAACCATTAAAAATATACATACCTATTCTTCTCTCCGACTCAAATGAAGCCCTCTTTTTGTTGCGTCGATGGGTTTTGTTTGCCATGGTTGCACTGTTGAATTGGAAACTTCAACTCTGAAATCTCCTTTGGAGATATTGCCTCTTCATCTCTACTACTCAGAAAGGTAGTCAAGTACACAATAAGCAAGGACACTGAAGCTGAAGGGTTCGAGAATTTCGCGGATTCCTTCCAAAGGCCTTGCACGATCGTCTGTGATTGACCCTTTTACCCCTAGTGCTCAAAATTACTTCCTTTACCGCTTGCGAGAACTGTTTTTTACTCCTCACCATGGTGCAATCACAGCCGTAGATTCTCATAATTATAGGGCTTAGAATTGTCCACAATCCTCATGTGGGATACTATCCTCACTTGATCTTAAGCCTATATATATATATATATATATATATATATATATATATATATATATATATATATATATAGGAAAACCATATCAATTACTTATTGGAAGAATAGAGTTTTTAGCACTTTTTGTCCCACGACTATAGTAACACTATCAGCTTTGCTCCACGACTTTCAAATCTTGCAATTTTGATCCACGACTATCGTTTTTTTATTTTATTTTATAGCAAAAATGGTCCTTCCGGCGTGTTTTTTGTCAATTTATCATCGGAGATAAAATTAACCCCTTTACAGCAGGGTTAAAAGAGTCATTTTATTTTTCATTCCCTGCTTACCCTTTCCAAAACGATGACGTGGTGATTTCTGCCTTCCCTTCGGTGACACAAACTGTTTCAGAAACAAAGAGTCACATTTGATATACTTTCTGAACAAAAGAATCCAATTACTGGCTAAAATTAAATAATTTGATTTACTTTCTGAACAAAAGAATTTCTTGTTGATGTATGAAAGATCTGACTTTTTGAACAAAAGAATCCAATTACTGGACTAGATAATTTATTCTAATTATTGTTTCTAGACAAGCAATTAAAATTCGGAATTGAGATTTGAAAGAAATTATTTTATTTATTTTGTTTGCATTAAATAAATAATGACATTAAAAGATTTAGCTAATATTCTTTAAAAATCTTAATTTTTTAAAGGTTTTTTTTTTTTTTTTTTTTTAAATCACAATCGTAAATAATTAAAGGATTTGGATAAAAGTAATCACTTTGAAAATACTTGAGTGCAAAAAAGCAAATGCACATAAAACAGAGGATTATATCACTGTAATTCACACAAAAAGTGTCATTTCACTTGTTTTTATTATTCTTTTTCTTTATAATTTTGATATTTTTTCTATGTATTTATTTAATTATTATAAAAGCAAGAATATATTGCATTGAGTTTTGTCCATCAAACTAAGTTTCCACGCACCTGTTTTCACATTGAGTTTTCTCCTGCCAACTTTCCATGCACTTGTTATGATGAATTATATTGACTGGAAGTTTGTAGTTTGTAGAATGGTCCAATAAATGGAAAATTATTCTGAGGACCACTGCATAATGTAAAATTCGAAGTCCAAAAAATATCACCAACCAAACATATGTGCAACCAAACATTGTTATACTATGACTAGGATACACATGATATTGTGGACCATAATCTAAAAATTATATATCTGTAGTTAATATATTGTGTCTTCAGTTAACAAATTATGTGTGTATAAATAAATTGAAGACATAATATATATGTTAACTGTATATACATATAGTTAACATATTATATTATGTGCTTGTAGTTAATATATTATGTGCATTCAATATAATTTATTAATTGCAAACATATAATGTGTTAACTGTAGACACATTATCTGAATGTTATTTGGGACCAAAGTCAACAATGTGAGGTCCATTCATAGTATAATTTGCCACATATTGAGAACGATCAATCCTTATACCATGGACCAGGGTTCATAGTGCACTGTGGACCCTAGTGTATGTGTATGTGTTTTATGTTGTGAGTTTTTGTATCTTGTGCTATGAAATATTGTACCTTATAAGTATGAATTCTGTACCTGAAACAAATTAGTAGTTGTCTTATCTTTTTGAAAACTCTTCTCATGGGAACATTTCTAATAAAGAAATGTCTACTTTGCAGAATTTATCAATTTTATAGCTTTAGTAATCACAAGGTTTCAATTTATCGCCTTGGAATAGTCAAACAATTAGTTTACTAACCACAAGGTTCCAAGTTTCACCTGCTGTAAGAGTTTTTTTATTGACATTCTTGATTTAAGCCAATCAATTATGGACATTTTAAGCTGGGTTACCTCCTTGTGGTTCTTTTTAGGTTAGGATTACAAGGCTGGCTTCATTAAGAGTGTAAATTCAGATAGTGACCGCAGACTTTCTCGTAAATTAAAATGAACTACTAATGTAAATATAAAGTCAATCAGATTTGAATTAGCCTTATAGAAGTGGGATACCATATACCAAATAGAATTAGCCTTAGTGCCCCATATAAGTTTATTTTGTATTTTAACTAGGATAAAAGTTTATTTCACGCAGTATAAATTACAAATTCCACTATTTGATATAATAAATAAGAATATAGATTTTACACCAAGGGGATGTAGCTCAGATGGTAAAGCGCTCGCTTAGCATGCGAGAGGTACGGGGATCGATACCCCGCATCTCCATTTTCGCTTCGCTTCTGTCTAGCGCAGTAGCGCACACCAGAAATTAGAAAGATATACTCTCGAGCTAAAATACAAATCAATTCACGATACTTGAGACAATTTAGTGCTTAAATTTGTGGAAATTGAAATATAGAAACTAAACTTTATAAAAGTTTATGGAAATTGAAATATAGAAACTAAATTTTATAAATGTTTAATAACTAAGGGAAAAAAATGCATTGGATATCAAAATTATAAATGAAGGGCTTAATGTTTAATGAATAAAGGAAAAATGGTCAAATTAGCCCCTTAAGTTGAACGGGTAGTGCAATTGGATCCCCTAAATGAAAATAGCTCCATTTATATTCCTTAAACTTGTAAAAATGTTCAATTAAGTCCAAATTGATCTATTTAGCAGATTATTTCTTTAAAAAGTTGACACGTGTCTTTTTAAATAATATTTTAATTTCTTTTCAAAATATATTTATTAGAAATTAAGAAAATAAAAAAATTTAATTAAAAAAAAATAGTACAGCACCGGCTGTCCGGTGAGGACAGCCGGTGCTGTACTCTTTTATTTATTTATTTATTATTTTTTAAATTTTTTTTCGAGAAATTTAAATAAAAAATAGTATTTATTTAGACTATCGTTTTTAGACTAACATTATTACAAAGTTGCAAACATTTATTTTAGTGACAATATAATCAATCTCTCATATATTATCTTGCATTTATATATTTTAAATTACCGATTTAAATAAATAAATTCAATACTTATTTACATATACATGAACATCTCCGATATAATATTGCA